GGGCGGTCAATTGGAAAGGATAGGACTGCTTCCGGGCTTCGTTGTAGTAGGGCGAAAGCTTCCACAGCTCTCATGAGGTGAGATTGCACCCTCTTTGTGTGAAGCAAATTTTCCTCTGATAGCATCTTTCTTACGCTGGCTTCTTGCCCAGGAGCCAGGTTGCCCAGGAGGAATCTACACCAAGACTGCTTGAGGTAATTCACGGTGAACCCAAACTGGCTTGACACCATGTAGATGCCGGAGTCTTGAAGCTCAGAGAAGTTGACGACGTTCACCTTGGCGCCGTCATGGTCTGCAAAATTGCCTCGGTGAGTGGTCCGACAATCCGGGTGTGGCACACCTTGCGGTAGGAAAGGATGATCTCGACACTCTCACTTCCAAGAATGGTGCATTGGATGGGCTTCTCATCGGTGCGTAGTTGCAGAGGACATTTGCAAATTGTGCACTTGGTTATTGGAGAATGGTATATATATACTTTCATGTCGGCAGACTCCTTCTTCACGCTCGGCCTCTTCCGTGCGGAACCGTGCTTGGAGCTAGGTCTCTTCATCTGAGATGCTTAGTTTTTAAGCTTCTTTTACAATCCCCCGTGATTGACCAGAAGGCTGCGAATGGAGCCGTGCAAGAAGCAGACTGTTGATATCATTCTCAATGACCTGCGTTTGTGTACTTGTTGATGCTTTGAGACTGTTAACGTTAAAGAAGACACATGCAAAATGATGCACAGCAAACACCTTTTTTCATTGTTTTGCTTTGCTTTGACCTGCGCCTTCCAGTCCACTGCCCCACAGTGGCCCGCGGATTCCGCAGTCACCCTGCTACAGACCGATTTACGGACCTGAGCGCCTATAGAGTGAAAAGCCCGCAAGTGAATTTCCTATAGCAGATAGTTCATCCTTCCTGGTAGGTGGCGAAGCCGTGGTTGAAGGGATCTTCGTCTTCATGCGCGCATTCTGGGTTGGCGTCGTGCTTTGGTGCTCGGGTTTCTTCCTTGCTATCCGGATCTAGGTCAATGACAATGGGCGATGAGGCCAGTTCGCGGCTCCACACACGAGCTTTCTTGAAGACATGGTTCATTGTAACCTCTTCCTTTTCCCTCTTTATTGCGACACGCTCCTCCTCATGTGCCTGCAAGGTCTCTAGCGCAGATTCCTCTTTCGGCTTGTCACCAAACAGGGCTTCGCGAAGATGTTTTCGATCTCGGGCCTCCTGCTTGCTCATCCGCCTTTCCTCAAATCGTTTGTTCATGATGATGCTCACCCACTCCTGTTCCTTTCTCACCTCTTCCATGAAATCCTCAGGCGTTTCCTTTTGGCCTGCCTTGTACTCACCGTACACCTTTTTGCCATCGGCTGTCAAGAACCCATCGCTTGACAAAGCGACGCGGGGAACCTTGTCTTCATTGATGCCTGCTCGGCGGTAGTACAGATGAGTCTTCGAGTTCACCAGGAAGGCGGCGCGCCTCAAAATGGCGTCCATATGGGTGCGGGTAGCTTGGTCGATGAAGGCTTTTTTGATCATGTCGTAAAAGTCCGTGAAGTTGATTTCAAGGACATAGCCTGGTGGAAGCACAGCCCTGGGTTCTTTGAACCCACTTACTGGCTCCCCACCTAGCCCAGGCCATGCTTTCATAGAGTCCGACATCTAGAAAAGCCTTGACAAGTTTCATGCTCAGAAGGTTTAGGGCGGTGTCGTCCAGGAAATCCCCCATAACCTAGTCAGCCAGGAGTGCTATCCATTGAGCCGTTTGAGCCTTGTTAACATGAGGGCTTATCCATTGAGCCTTTTGTAAACATACATTTATGTTATCAGGAACTATGCCATACACTGCGGTGTCTGGATTGGATTGCCACGCAGGAAATCCTTTAGCATTCCTTGACTGCCCAAGATCTTCAGCAAAAGTTTGGGTTTTGGACTTTGGCGCGCTGGATCTTTAGCAAAAGTTTGGGCTTTGGACGTTGGCGCGCTATAGATCTTTAGCAAAAGTTTGGGGCTTTAAGGTCAGGGGTCATTCTGAGCGAATGAGCTTGAGCCAGGGCGTATGTAAATATATGTGTATGTATAGTAACTACACTAGCTACACCTTAAGCTCCCAGGGTTGAAGACGTCACAGGCCCACCAAAGACACACAGGGTTACACGCATGTGCCTCAAGAACACGTTCCAACCTTAAGGGGCCACATGTGCGCATGCAAACTCGGCGGTCGCGCCACTCATGCGTGGCCCAAGGTTTGATTTTTTCACAGACCTTTCAAGCTTCACAGACTAGCCTGACATTGAGGCAGCCTAGGTGAAAACAAACAGCTGGAGTAACGCTCTGTATCTCCCTAGGGTGACTGTGTCCAGAGTCAGCACGTGGGTGCGGCAGGCTATCTTGCCCAACTGTAGCATTAGATCTTCGTCCATATAGCATGCATCAAACCTTGGATGAAGATCTTCCAGCACACCCGCAGAGAAAACACACATCAACCAAAAAGTAACCTAGAAAAAGAACCAGTACAATTAAGTGTTGAGGTGCCTTGGGTTTCTGCGGCTTTTTTCAATATACAGCAACATCTCGAAAAAGCTGTGGTACTTCGGTGTGATCTTGTAGAACCGTTTGGTGTCAGTGCGTTCACGGTCTTGAGTAGCTAGTTGTTGATATAGCAATAGCCCGGTACGGCCAGCATCCACACAGCACTTCGTTTCTTCATCACTGAAAAATTGAGGGCTCTGGTCACAGACACGCTGGAACTTTGCAAACGCATGTGCACAATATGCTCGGAGATGTGACCGCGGGATCTCGCCTGATGCCTGTTCTTTCAAAAACTCTGCACACCAGTACATTAAGCACTTGGTTACAGATGCCTTGTATGTTGAGCTAAGCTCTGGGTAGTCAGGCCAGTTCTCCTTGTTGAACCTCATGGCATTGAAGATGTGGGAGCAGGGCGTCACATTTTTCCCATGACGTTTACACCACCGTTTGTAGTGTATGTAAATCTCGGTGCTAAGGGCTCGATCAAGTTGTTTCAAAGTTATAGATGGATCCCGGCTCACAATGTGATCACATATAAGTGCAGCTATGTACACCGACGCAACTCCTTGATGCATCACGTGTAGCAGATCCTCAGATGGCGATCGAATGGCTCGGATTCCAAGAGGGGTTCGGTGGTGGATAGGGCTTAAGAAAAAAACATGACACATAGTACTGCTTTTCAATTCAGGATACCTCCAAGTTCCTGTCCTTGGTCCAACCTCTTACGTTGACCCACTGTGACTTGTTGTCGGGGCCACACAGCATCATGAACTCTTCGTGGCTAAACCGTAAGGATTGAGAGTTTGCGTCAGAGTTGAAGTCAGCAAAAGTAAACTCATCCGAATACGATGCAAGGCAGTGTTCGCAGATGTCTTTTGTACGATAGTACCTGGGGAGTTTGTGAACCACTTGGCGTGCTTCCCAATCTCCCTTCCAGGCACTGAACGTCATAGTCCAGCCACTGCAAAAAGTCTTGCCAGCACGACGTTGTTGTAAACTCCCTGGACGCCACTGGTTCCCCTGATAATCCTTCAGAGGAAAACATCCAGCGCGAAGGGTGTCATTGATATATGCAATGATGTGAGCAATGGCATCGTGTGTTTCACCCTTTCTCAGCAGGTTTTCCCTGACACAAAGGAACACCAGTTTGGACTCGGTCGAAGCTGCCTTCCTGCATGTGCTCGACAGACTGTACACAAACATTTTTTGGTGCTTGTAGATACGCACACCATCACCATGGAAAAACAATGGCACACATGTCTCATACTCATGTCGTTGTAGACCAACTCGTGGAAACCAGTCTTCCAATCGCTCACAGAACTCCGAATATTCCTTTGTCCTACCCGCTGCATTGTCCTTGTCATCAGCCACCCATTGGGTAAAATGACCTTGTTCCCAAAGGGTTGAGAAAAAGTCCCATGGCCAAATGATGGCTGTAGGACACTGCGTGTTGCTCAGTTCACCATTCTCATCAGGAACGCATAAAGGAAGTTCAACTTTGTCTGGATGTAGTGTGCATACTTTCTGACACCACCTGTGGAACAAACACATGAACAGCTGTTGGGAGACCATGTAAAATATATAAACCATATGAAGTATAAACCTTATGAACATGTTGCCCGGAACATGCACCTCGAGAAAGATCTTTCTGCGTGTCCACCATCATACCACCTCGCCATTTCCCGGGCCAAGGGACATTCCAGATGGTCTTCCCAGAGGTGCTTCGCATCCAGGCAGCCATCGGTCGCAGAAGTGGCCTGAGATGCGGGACATATCAATTGTAAGACATGAGACCTGATCCAAAAGAGACTTCTCCAAGCCTTTGAACACCTGAGTCAACCCCCTGAAGATTGAAGATAGTTTAAACTCTCCAAGTCACCCCAGAGCAAATCTTCTTCAAGATCCGCTTTGAAGAACTTGAAGCCATGGTCCAAACACCTAGGCCGTGCACAGTGGTATAGGCTGTGATGCACATGTGGTAGGCTGCGGTGTCATGGACATGGCTCGTATGCGTTGGCTGCCCAGGCGCTTCGAGGATCGCATGGCAAAGCATCCAGACCACGTGGATGATCTCGAGGAGACCTTGATCTTGCTGTCGCCGAACTCGACCTGCGGTAGGTTGAAAGCATCAATGGGAGAAACAGCAGTGGCATGTCGGGTGTAGGCTTTGGGTTGCATGGTTGCGCATCAAAACAAATTCGGTTGGCGTTCAGCCTTTGTTCTTCCATCGTTGTAGGTAGTCCCACAACCCTGAGTCCCCAAGGTCAGCTGCTGTTTAGCAACTTGACAGATTTCGAGCAAAGGCTTTCGCCCATTCCTTCGGCAAACAGGATACTGTTGACCAGATTCCACAACACTTTTCTAAATATGCTTTAGAGATGGGTTTCTGGCCTGCTGCTCAATCCCCTGAAGTACGCAAAGCTGGCACTGGCACTTTGAAGTACCCTACTCCCAGCAAACCACATCAAGAAATAGTGAGACTTGACCTATTTGGTCTTGGAACTTGAGGAAGGATCCTTGGGTTTTGACTTGGCAGCCGCTTTTGCTGGCTTGTCAACAGCTCGGATCAACGCTTTCGCCAGGGTCACTCGCTCTTTGGCAATCTTGCGAAGTTCTTCCACCTAGGCAACCACCAGCCCCAGACTAGCTAGCTAGATCGTTATTTCTCACCAGGAAAACAAAACAAACAAAAGGTGGGCCTTAGTCACAAGGTCTGCATAATCTTTGTTCTTGTTGGCTTTTGCTTTGATCTTTTGTTGAAGCAGCTCTGCTTGCTCGCCAAGTGCAACTGAACAAGCCTTCAGCTGCTCGATGAGTTCTTGCGACATGGAGTGGGGCTTGAGGTTGAAGGCATAGTTCCTCGGATGACGCGAAAAGAAAAATAAGTCCAAGTAACTGTCCAACAACTTCCTGAGACACATTACTGTTTGAGGCTAGACATTGAGTCTAGACACCTGCATTCATTCATGTCCTTCAAAATCTTCTCTACCAGCTCTTTTGCTAGTGCTAGTGGTGTCTCTGGCTCAACTTTCTTGACCTCCTTCTCTTTAGGGTTTCCACCACCACCTGGCTTCGGTTTGTTCTTTGCCTTCGCTCCCAAGCCCACCTCATTGATCATCTTACTCATGCCGGCTGCTGACTGCAGCTCGCCCACTGCTAGATGCTGCTTCCCATCCAAGCAGCCTCCAGCCTCAGAGATTTGGGGTTCCATGAATTGCAAAATGAATGAAAGCTAACTTGGATTCAATATATTGGATCACACTGCGGCTAAATAGCTTCGACAAAGGATTTCAACCCATCTCTGTCAAGGGTACCGGTCATCTCCAACTGAATGACACGCTTCATTTCCTTGATGTCCTCCAAGTTGAACTCAACAAGGACAAAGTAGAGCAACTCGTCCTCCCCCGGAAGCTCGGGGTCCGGGATGATCCTTTGCTGCGTGCAGGAGCGATGGATAGCGATGGTCCGGGATGATCACAATAAGGCGTGGCTTGACCGACGGGGTTTGGCGGCGGTTGTGGGGAGACACATACAAAGTGCCATAATTGAAGGCGAGTTTCAACCCCAGGTTTTTTTCCTCTCCATAATCTTTTTGGCTTTCCGCTCTCCGTGATTCTGAACCAGCCAGGTTTCAGACCGAAACCCATATTTCACCTTAGTTTTTTGGCTCTCTTCGAGCCGCTGCTCGAAACGGGCCTCCACCTCAGCAAAGTTTTTTCCGGATTCCATGAACTCGTTGAACAGCTGCTGCCTCGACTCCCGCGAGAACTAAAGGTGAACAACTGTGCCCATCCCAAGAAAGGTTAACAGGTTTGTGTGAAACATGCCAGGAGAGGTTGAAAGGACATCTACTATCTAGCTAATGGAAAGTCAGCCTGGGACAATGTGCTGGCCTGCGATTTGCAAGCAGCGATGATCTTTGCAGGACATCTTTTTTGTTTTGGCACCACCTGCCAAACTTTTGCCATTCAGCTCTGTACTTGGTGGAAGTCCATACCTTTCCTTCCTTCTCTTCGTCCTCTGCCTTGTGTTCTTTCTTTGATGGCTCATCCGTATGTCTGTCCATTGACTTTCTCTTCTTTTCGCCCTTCTTTTTCTTCCCATCCTTCTCCTTATCCTCCTTGCCATCGGTCTTTTCATCCTTCTTCTTTTCATCCTTCTTCTTTTCATCCTTCGTTTCACCCTTCTTCTTTTCAGCCTTCTCCTTCTTATCCTTCTCCTTCTTATCCTTCTTCTTCTTCTTCTTTGTCTTATCCTTCTTTGACACCTTTTCCTTCTTCTTCACCTTCTCTTTGTCCTCCTCACAGCTCTCTTCATCATCACTCTCATCACTCTGATCCTCCTCTGAGTCATCAGACCCATTTTCAGAGGGTGGTGCGTCCATCTTTTTCAGAATGCCTGGCGCCTCCTTCTTCTCAGACTCATCTTCGCTGTCGTTTGCACCATCTTCACTTTCACTCTCCTCATCACATTCACTTTCATCTTCACCAGACTCTGCAGAGCCACTCTCCTCACTTCCATCTTCACTGTCCTCATCCTGGCTATTGCCGCTGTTCTCACCACCGGATTCCTCCTCACTCTCTTGTTCCTCACTCTCTTCCTCACTCTCATCGTCCTCGCTCTCTTCCTTCTCCTCTGCTTTCTGCTCCTTTTCCTTCTTTGCGCGTGTATTCTCTTTCACCTGTGCCTTCTCCTTTTCATTATCCTTCTGCTTCTTCTCTTCCTTCTGCTTCTTCTCTTCCTTCTGCTTCTTCTCTTCCTTATGCTTCTTCTCTTCCTTCAGCTTCTTCTCGTCCTTCTTATCTTCCTTCTCACTCTCACTGCTATCTTCTTCGGTCTTTGTCTTCTTGTTCTTGTCTTGCCGCTCGCTTTCTTTGGAACGCTTCTTTGCCTGAAGCGTCCCTCTTGAAGTCCACCATGTTTGCATAGCCCTAATGATCTCCTTTTCTCTCTTTCTGTTGTTACGTTTACATCTACGCACGTCTTCTTTAGTCATCCCTGGCCTCTCAAACCTTGCCCAGTATTCCCTGGCCTTCACTTTTACATCCTGGTCAGAGTCCGAAGCGTCGGCTTCCTTTTTCTCTGCGGTCGACTTGTCCTGCACTCATGACTGAATGGATTTTGATGGGAGATGCAGAACCTGTGTGCTTGAACAATGGGTTTCTAGAAACAGAGGGGTCCTTCAAAGAAGAAATGATCTTTGCAGCCCTCTTGCTACTCATGTCCGCAGGCGATATGTTCTCTGCTTCGATATGATGCACCTTGTTCTCACCAAAGCTGATCTTGCGCCTGACTGGATCAGACTTCTTGCTGCCGGAACTGCGGTCATCCTTGCTGCTGTTGGGTGGTGGTGTCACATACCCAGAACTCTTGTCCTTGATTGATTTTGCAGCCTTTCTCAAAGCTCTGGGGTCAGGTGATCTGCCCCGAGGAGCAGACTTTGACCGATGCCTATGAGTAGGGGCCGACATGAGTAAACGGCGCGAACCCTCCCCAACTAGTCTCACACAAATGCCTGCGTGTATAATACATGCCCTTCACAAAACTTCACAATATGTCGCAATACATATCGTCACAAATCTTCACAATATATGGATTTAAGTCTTTCGAACTCACATCATGCACAATATCCTTTTCCTCTTGAAGTGTATGTTCTGCTGTATAGCTGAATTTGCTATAGCTGGTAGCGATCGAGTTGGGCCCACGGAACTCCTGAACCCAAACATCCGGGAATCCGGGAATGAAACACCTCCCCAAACCGAGAATCCGAGAAGAAAACCGAGAATCCGAGAACAGATTTCCGGGAATCACATCCCCAAACCGAGAATCCGAGAATAGATTTCCGGGAATCCGGGAAATTGAACACATAACTCCGGGAATTCGAGAAGAAACCACCACAAAAACTTTAGAACTCCAGATATTGCCAGACCCAGGAATTTTCCCGGGAATTCTCGGGCGATTCCCGGATTCTTCCCGGGTTCCCGGCTTTTCAGATTTCAAAAAAAATGATGGTTGGGTAAGTTTTTCAACAAAAAACTCTTGGAGTCATTTCATGTCACCAACTCTGAACTCAGAATGTGTAATTGTTCAACAATTCTCGGAAAGAGATGATGGGTTATAGTACCGGTGGATCCAACTCTCTCCAGCTTTCTAATTTATACACGTGGCTTAGCCACGCAGCGCTTGCATGACTTGCAGCAGGTTGGCAGCTTCTGCCCACTTGCCATCCTGCGCAGATTGCAGAGCGGTGTGGACGCCCACTTGGGTTGGGGTGGGGTGCAGGAACATACATGTCTCACATCCACACTGGGGCCCTATAGAGCTTTCTCCACTCCACTGGCTGGTATATATATATATATATAATCCAAAGACGTGTAGGATATCCAGTCCTTCATACTCTTTGGAGGCTTCCGAAGCTTTCCAAGACTTTGCCTGGGCACGAGCTGTTGCGCAGGTTGTTCTTCTGGGTTGAATTGCTCCATGTGACCCATGCACCACATGCAGTCAAAGTGCGCACGGCTCTTGACAGCTTCTTTGATCTCAGAAAGCTGTTTCTCAAAGCATTGGGCCACACAATGCCCAAAGAGTTTGGGATAGTACTGGCTAGCCTTGAGGTCAGCCCCTCCACACACACGTTGGAGTCCAGCATGGTCGATATACCTCAGTCTATAGCATGGCACATGCACACCCTAATTGGGATCACATGCATTGCGTTGCATTTCTACCTAGCTGCTTGATTGACATGGATGCGTCGAAATTGGTATCCTTCGGAAGAGGCATGTACAGGTCCGCAATCCATTTGTAGTTGCTGTAGATCACCGTGGGTTTGGGGCCTCAGGTACTTTTCCCAGGGATCACCTCTTGAAAAGGTTCTTGAAAAGGACAAGTGTCTTTCAAAAGGTTCTTGCAAACTGCATAACATGTTTCTTTGACCGCTCTCCAATTGTTTGTTTGGCCACTGGTCCCTCCATATGCCCCCAACCAAATAAACACCTCAGCTTTCGAGTGTGTGGATACTTCTTATGTGTACGTTTCTCAAAGAAGCATCTGCGCATTAAACATGCATAGACTGGAACTTTTGTATCAAAACCAAGTAGCCCGGTAGACATTGAACCGCCGACAAATGAATTGAAAGTGCGGGTGGAATTCCAGCAAGCTGGAACCCGGCTGTTCCAAACACCAAGGGATGTCAAGGGCACAGCACATCATAAGGCATATGCAGCACCTCGTCACCATGGCATTCCTTGGATTGTTGAGACATGTCGCGACTGTGAACTATTTCCTATTGCACCCACCATTTCCCTGTTCCCTTTTTGGCTGACATCCGTTCCTTGCGCGTAAAGGTTCCAATTGGCCGGCGTGGCCACATTGCAAAGCTGGGACACTCAGCTTTTCGACTGAAGTCTAAAGAGTCTAAATATGTCTAAATTAAAATCCCCTTGAAGGTTTTGGGGCTCGCTTGATCTAACATGTTAGCTGTCAGCATATGACAGATTGTTTACATCTGAAAGATTCTGAAAGATTGTATAGAGAGTATATGCGAGGCCCTTCCTTCAAATCCCCAGAGACTCTTGCTCTCATACAAATACCCCGGCTAGTCGATGTCCTTCTCCACACCCATGACCTTTGCCGCGGTGGCCCATGCCTCCTTCATGTCTTTGCCAGCAAAGGAAATCCTGAGATGCTAGAGACTCCCAAGCGCAGTCCCAAGCGCAAAGGAACTCCTAGGATGCTTGAATACCACAGTGTGTTTAGGGGTGTACTGCTGCTTGGGATCGAGCGGGCAGCATCTCCACAAAGTTTCTTGCCCTCAAAGTTCATTTTTGGCTTGAAGGCCTGTTGCCTCAAGAGAACCTCCACACGAGCATCGCCAAGCGGCCTGGGATATGGAGACATCTCACCCACACTTCAACAAATATCACTGTGGTACATCCATGTTGTTCTTTGCGTATACTCTGTATAACTATATATATATATTTTTTTGAAGTCCCAGGCGCACAGTGTAGGAATGTTGGCCGTGTTTGGCCGACGCTGGCCACAAGCAGCTAGGAAGGGCTTGGATGAGGGGGTGGTAAGCATCCAGGAAGCTGGACAGAATTTCACTCTTCTCTGAGGCCTTCTCTGCAATCGCCGACGAAGTCGAGAGGCGACGCTTCCGGTTGGTGTCATCCCCTTCACTGGACCGCTTAGCAGCGCTAGAAGCCTTGGACTCTTTGGGTCCCCTGGGCTCTTTGGATTTCATCCCTTTGCAACTGCCCTTATCGATCTTCTTCTTATTCTTCTTCTTCTTTTTGTCCCCGTTCCACCGATTGCCAGCCACGGACACAGGCGGTGGCTTCAGCGATTCGACAGCATCGTCGAAGCCCTCAGGATCCTGCGAGAGAGAGGTCAAAAGGGGTCAAAAGGACAGAGGGAGGTGAAGGACGGTGAAGGAATAGTGAAGGACAAATCACACCAGACCTGCCTTGATGGTCCACCTCCTCTGGGTTTGGGCAAGGATTGAGTTCACCTCTGAGTCAATGAGGCTAAACCATGGGTCCTCCTCTGTATAGGGCACCATCTCATGATGGACACGCGCCTGCTTCTCGTCCTCGTTCCCGGCTGATGGTTCTGAAGCATCGCTGTTCAAGTTATCAGCAACTCTCTGCCACATAGTACTGCTGCAGTCACTCGCAGCATCAACCACCTTGTGGAACAATACAGTGGAAACAACTTGTTGGAACACAGCTCAAACAGACACTAATGACTTTCAGTGTTCAGATCTGTTGTAAACGGTTTTGTACACCACCGCACCTGCAAAGTGTTTGTTTCCGGGCACCCCGAAGCTGGAGACTGAGACCCATCATACTCTGGGTTCATTTTGGGATCAAAGAAAGAAGAAGGAATCCCATCGGATGACTCACATCCACTGTCACTCTCTCCCAATACCTCAGTCTCGGCGTCAAGGTCAGCATCATCCACGACCTGATTGGATTTGCCTGAAGCTGATGAGGCCTGCTGCTTCCGACGCATGAGGTCTTTGAGAAGCTGAATCCATGGTGAACGTGATGCATTTCGCGCAGACTGCCACATCCTACACAGCAGTTGACTAAATATGCATGCATGTTAGATGTTGGTTCACTAAATTCCAGTGAACATTCAAGTACAGACTCTCCTGCGAACGCCAGACCATAGTTTTCCAAGCTTCTTCATGTGCATTCGCATGGCAGTGTCCTTGTCCTAAGAAATGAAACTATGGACATGGATGCATCATACCTTTCGGTAGGTTATGGGCATGTATAGTTTTGGTAGCTTTTTGATTCATACTCTTGCTCTGCCGGCCAGGCACCATCTCTGGAGTCTCGCGGATAGCCAGGCCCTGACCGGGATTGGGCAAAGGACTGCGATCGATTGGAACACCAACAAAGGTTTTGTGGAGATCACGCACATGACCCGACAAAACGTATGGAAGGGTCACCTGGTAGTGCTCGTTGAAGCTGACCAAAATCACTTCCAGTTCTGCAAAACTGGGCTTCCTTTCTTGGAACTGGTGGAACTTAAGAAGCGTGTGAATGGCCCAAAAGTTCTTGATCCTAAGCTGCCATATCGACCACGCAATCAGACCTCTGAACAGATTGCAAACACAGCGAAAACAACATTTGCAAAACTGCACAACATTGGTTTGACCAAAAGTCAGCTGAGGTTCACAAGCCTTTCTTTGCACCGAGATGTAATCTTACCAACGAGCAACTCTGATGTTGACTCTGTCCCCAAAGGAGGAATGGCCTCCTCTCTCACACGGGGAGGACACGCTGTCGCCATTTCTATCCCAAGTGTCTGAAGGGCTTGAACATATTCCTCTTCATCCTCTGGTGTCGCACGCAGCCATTCGAAGTCTGGCTTGCCAGGCGTCGAGGGGCATGAAGATGATGAGGAGACCATTGCGGAACCGAGTGGGAAAGGTCTAGAGACAGAGACGCTGGTCTGGTCACTAGGTCACTATAGCTCGGGCCACCTTGTGAATCCACCAAATGGTTGAGGGACATGACACCTCGAGTTGAATGCAATGTTCACCCTCATGCAAGCACTCCTGCACCCACATCCCTGAACCCACAACCCACCCCGCAATGACCGAGGGTCGCTTCCACCACAGAAGCAATTGCGGTTCCAAGAGGATTGTCTCGCGATCTTCCCGATGTACCACTGAGCGGCCGGATGCATGGGTGAGATTGCTGGCATCTTTAGTCTATAGACATCTTTAGAGCAACACTTCTCAAACATTACAGTATGTGGAAGATTGTGGAATCTTGGATGTGGGGAACAAAGCTGGCGCTCATCCATATGCACTGATATGCACTGCATGAGTATACTCCTGTTTTGATTTCACCTTCAACCTTGGACCAAAGACTCAAAACCTATACTACATTTTAATACCTTCTTGCTTGTGGTCTGGGTGGGCCTCTTTATCCATTGAGGCCCCAAGCACTGCCCAGAACTATATGTAAAATCCATGGGAACTAAATATAAAAAAATCCCTTCAGGCACACAGAGTCCAGTTCTTTTTCCACTGCTGTGACTGCTGTAAGTCTAGTTTCCGGAGCCTTCACCATTCTTCTGAATGGCCACCATGGAAAAGTGATGCCTCCCCTTGGCATCAGGCCTATGGAATCATTTTATAGTATAGAAACCTGAGCCTAGTCCTAATCCTTGGAACCCAGATTGCTTTCCCAATTGCAGAGATACCTACTGTATTCTCTAGGAAAGACTCTTTTTCAAACCTTTGATCTCTTCTTTTTCTTCTGATTCTTTTAGAGAGAAAGAGAGAACCTGAAGCTTGAAAATGACGAGCCTGAAGAACATAGAATCAGGGTCTAATAAACACGACCGCTGAGCTACTCAGCTGACAAACCTACTACTTCTTTGGCCTTTTGCCAGCAGGCTTGGCAGCAGGTTTTCCCTCTGCGGATTTCGGCGCCGGCTTGCGCTTCCTTTTGCCATCATCAGCATCAGCTTCCTTCTCAGCTGGTTCCCTGAGAGCCCCAAAATCAAAAAAACTGTTAAATTTGCAAACTACGTGCTGAAACCAAAATCATCCCAAATCAAAAGGAACACAATAACAAGAGTCTGAATGACCAATGACTAGTACCTTTTGCAAAGGCACGATGTCTCTGTTGAGAATTCCTCGAATCTGACACGTAGGGACTCAGGAAGGTCCTCTTTGGACAGGCCGAAGGTGTTCATCATGTAGCTGCACATCTTCCTGGCACACTTCAACCTCTCTGTATACTTCTCTGGATGAGTGACAGCCTCGGTGATGATGGCACAGCAACATGCCAATGCTCCTGAGTGACGGAGCTCCTTGGACAGGGGATGACAATCCAAAGTAAAGAAACAAACAAATCACGATTCGTCATCTGAGACGGGAGAGTGACCGACCTGGCCCCCAACTCTAGTGATGTTTTCTGTCCTCCAAACCCTTGCGAAGTGGAACTGCTTTTGACATAATCTCATCTGAACTGTTCTTGCTTGACTTCCAAGACAAGATCACCTTTAGGAGATCCAGGTGAGGTAGTGCACCTTTGCGCCATTCAGCCACTTTCTCGCAAGTCTTATTGGTGGTAGGGTTCTCCAAGATTGGCATGATTGGTTCGATCTTCCAATGGGTAACACAGTCCACGATTGAACTGCAGGGGTGGCAAGGAAACACTGTTTCAATTGAAGGCAAGGAAAGTGTCTGGAAGTCTGGAACTGTTTGAAGTTTGGAGCCTGAATACTAGAGTCTTACTGCTCTTACAATCACATTCTACTAGTTCTGTGAGTTTTGATTTTAATATTGTTCAATGAAAGAGTCAAAGAGCAACAAAAAACATCGAACAACAACCCAGACTAGAGTTTTGTCAGCCAGACTGTGCCTGAAGTCTGACAGCAACTTGCGACCCTCCTTAATGAAGTCCTCAATTTCCTTGAGGCCAGTCATGGCTGATGTGGTAGCCTGTGCCCGGAACATGGTAACCTTCTCTGGGACCTCGGGAAAAAAGAACTTGATATCTTCAATCTCCAGAGACTCAATAGTGAACAGGTTCTTCACGTCCTGGATGAGGGACACGGAAGGCTCACTGCCCAACTCCTGGAGAAGCTTGCCATACTTCAGTACCGAAAGGCACTTGGTCAGATCTGGTGACAAGGTCAACTTCTCCTTCTGGATGCTGCCCAATGCGTCTGCCAATCCCTGTGACTGAATCTTGCTGCTCCACTCCTTCTTCGCATGCTCAGTGAGCAACAAGCTGAACCTCTCCACTGCGAGCCTCCCCTCCTTCACCCACCCAGGGAGTCCCTCAAGCTTTTGGCAGTCTGATAGGACCTTCTGCACTGTGGCTTCAAAGTCACACATCTGCTTCACTGTAGGCTGCTCGTGCTGTCCATATTCTAGCAAGGCCTTGCCCATTCCTGACATAGCCCCGTAGTGGCCAGGGCTCTGCTGAAGAATCATGCTGCAGACAGAGCCTGCGCAAAAGCAGTGCAGAGCAGGATAAGCAAGTAACAGTATACAGTATGTATGAGTCATTGAGTATGCCAAAACTAGGCCCAAAACTACCACCACTAGGACTAGTACTGCCACTAGTCCCCCAGAACAGGAGATGAACCTCAGTCATGGTCATGCCAGACTTGTCCATGTTGTCAATTGACCCTGCCTTGAACTGCTACCTTCCAGAAGCACTGCATCGTTTTTGCTTTATCTCGCGCTGTTAGTGGGAGCACCTCCCCGGCATCTCCCAACCAAAGGTCACTGACATACCTTTGAAACTCCTTTTCCAGAGATCCCAAAGCCTGTGAACCACTGAGCTCAGCAAGAGATTCAAGAACAGATGCCAAGTTCCCTGACACTTCCTTGGCGTCGTCTCCATTTGTTTTCTTGCACGCGTCAAGGTATGCATGGGCATTGGTGCACTCTGAAATGAGGGCCTCAATCTTTGGCATGTCGGCTTCGTGGTCTTCCTTGGCAATCACGCCCTTCAATGAAGTCAGAGAGCTAACCAACTTCTTGGAGTGAGCGCAAGCCTTGTCATCATCAACTGCCATCTTGGCAAGTTCAATGACGCCCTCCCAGAGCGTCCTGACCAACTGCACGCAATGACCAGTCACAAGTCTCCCGTCTCCCTTTCTCTAGTGCCAATGGTCTGTGTTCAGTTGAGTGACAGTGCATTGCATCATTTATGAATTTAAAAAGGCCGGCTGGGGCCGGCTTGTTCAAAGAAAACAACCACTTGTCCTGAGCCTGGTATTTGATCTAAAGAGCAAGTTGCATCGGGGGGTGAACCTTCCTGATTGAGCTACCACCTCCTTGATCTCTTTCAGCCTTTCTTGCTGCAATGGTGTGCCTTTTTGGTGGGTCATGAACCAATGGCAAGCCAAGAACTTCTGCAAATCGTGGAGGATCTTGTCGGACAGGCCATGGTGGCACGGTTTGAATTCTGCCTCCGTAGACTCTCCCTGGTCATTTGCCTTTGAGCTTGTCCTGGGATTGAAAGGAACTCATGAGGTCAGGCTAGCAAAATTATTGGATTTGTTGAAAGAAGCACACCTGAAACCAGCACCCTATCTGTCCTGATGTATTTTGGCCCCCAGTAGAGGTTTGGATGGGCAATGGTGCTCACGGCAAGCTCAGTAACGCTTCTGGACCAGCACTGCGAAACTTATCCATCCAAGCGTTCCAGAAATTCAATTGGAGATTGAGCACTGTTTTGAAGCCTGTGCCAGGTTGCTCGCTCAGAGCCGCACAAGCGCCAAGTGACAAAGGAAGAGTGTGTGCATCATCTTCCCCGGATATTGCTGCTGGTCTTGTGAGCGACAAGAATGTCCAAAAAGGGTCACCAGCCCCACGGAAGCAGGCCTCAGTCTCAAGCATTTGGGAAAATCAATGATATCATGATAGCACTGTGGATACCGGATACAGTAACTAACTAGACTATAACAGACTGTAACTACCACAAAAAGCAAAATCCCCAAAAATATCAACAGGTAACCTCAGGTAACAGGTAACAAACATGTACTGTATCAAATTGTATTGTTTTGGTCTTGGCCCTGGCCTCTGTCAGGGCGCGTGCAATGTCGGCCAAAATTGCAGGGAATGTATCATCTGGCTGGTTGCAAATTTCCTTCACTCGGCGAATGGTAGTTGAAAGTTCAAGATCTGGACCATGCTCAGCCTTTGTGAATGCGCTGATTTTCCCGCGTATCTCCCCATACAACTCAACACACTCGCCAGCATCCTCAAGAAGTGCTTTCAGCTTGTCAAACTTTTCCTTTGCTTCTGGTTGGCTCATGGTGCCCAGCTGCTGTAAAAAGTCGTGACCCTTGTTCATCTTCACGTCAAGGTCTTTTTGTTTCGTTGAGCCGTTCCACATAGCAAGTGTGTCCACAGCCTCAAAGAAGTTGATCACGGACTCAGCCTTCTCGATCAGTTTGGCACTGGAGTTTGTATCGTCTGGATTTCCCTTCTTGGCTGCCTTGGCAGCCCGTCCAGAAGAAGCTCCAGCCCCAGGTTTTTCAGCCTGGTCGTTCTGCTTCTCACTGGTCTCACCGGTTCTCTTTCGGGACTTCGGTGCCTCAGGTTTGGCTTCCTTCCGTGCTACCTTCGTGGAAGCAAACCCAAACCCACCAGATGAGGCATCGGAATCTGACTCATTGGCAGATTGCGGCTCAACTTCCTCATCCTCTTCAGGCACAACCAGCCCGAAAGCCTTGTCTTCTTCCTCCTGACCAGAAACAACACAAACAAAACTCACAATAATAGGCGGTCAGTAAACACAGGACAGTATTTGTATGGTGGCAATATTTGGTAAGGAAAAACATAATATAATTATATTCTGATCTCTCAAGTCCCACATCATGTCCTTCGTGTTGGTATTGACCTCAAAAGCCAACTTGTTCTTCTCGTGGGCAATTTTGGCGTCGTTGCCCTCTGCGTGCTCAACCCGCTTCACTCGTTCCTGACTGTTTCTGCTGCCCATGCGAACGTTTTTCACTTTGGCATTTTCAACGATGATGACACCTTCGGTTCCGGTGTCGTCCTGGAGGCAAAAACACAAAGCCTGTCAGCCAGCCTGTGTATGTGTGTGTGTGTTTGAAATGTCCACATTGTAATCGCAAGTCAACACATGAGGCTCCCCTGGTCCTGTTGAATGCGGAGCCCCAAAACCTGGGTGGCTACCCATCACTGGCCAATGAGCAATATCGGCAATATCAATATCGAAAAAAATCCAAACATGTTACAACCGGTGACGCTGATGCTGCGGCTTTTCTGAAATTTACCAGGGAGCCTTCTCACAGTAGTTCTTCTTCTGAGCGTGCGTACGAAGCTTCTTCTTCTGAGCAGGGTCAGTGACCTTCTCGTTGATATAGTCTGCTATTGCCATCCACTTCCCCTCCTCAAACGGACTAACAATTGAGTTGAATGCTGACTCAGATTACAGTAGTTCAAATTGCAAAGTTAAACCAAACCTATGCAGAACACATTTTCATGTGACCTTTGAGCTTCGATTGAAATGGCCCAGCCCACCCAATCCTGGTAGATATCGCAAAATGTCGAGTCCTTTGTCTCTGTGAAATGTCGCACGTCAATGGCCTCATGCCTTGGCCAACCATTAGGATTTCGCATGGTGTTCTTGATGTGTTTTTTCCTCAGGCTGCGAAACCTTGGGGCTCAGCGATGAGAGACTCAAAAAAAGAAAGCTTGGTTGAATCCTGAATAATTCCAGGGAGCATCATAAGTTGTAAGCAGGGCAGAACAAAGCAAAACATGCAAAAACATGTTCAGTTATTTCCTGGGAGCTTGTCCTTCAATGCAGGATGCTTGCGGAGCAGTTTCCTGAACATAGATGCAGAGATCTTTTTGAATGAGCCACGGCGAATGTAAAAGCATCTCATGCATTCTCCTTTATCTGTCCCTTTGGTGGCAACAACCATGAGTGGAGGATGGCCAGGAAGACTGTCCTGCAAAATGGAGTGGCAAACTCGTAATCCCCCTGTGAGTGAACTTGACTACATGCCCAAAAAAACATTGCAACAAACCCCCACCCACCCACACACGCACACACACACACTTTTCCTCGTCAGGTGTGTTGAAGACCTGGCCACACTCAGCACACTCTCCGTCTGGGACATCAGATTCAGACTCCTCGGCTTCAGCGTCAGAATCTTTCTCCTTCTCCTTGTCATTCTCTGTCTCCTTCTGAGTTGGCTTTGGCGCCATGCTGGGCTAGGTCTCCTTGACGCTGGAAGGACACGCAACCGCCCTCAAGCGCCTACTGGCAACTGGTCACACACGCTGCAAGCTGCAACACGCAAAGGATTAGCTGAGCTGCCACGATCAACACCGTCGGCGTCAAACATTGAAAACACAGAACTCAACACAGGTCAAAGTCAACACGGCGCTTAATTACACATGCCAATTTGCAACGCAACTCAACTGCAAGCTTTTTCTGAACCTGAGTCTGTGTGGTTCTGGTAGGGATAAAGAGCAACATCTGTGCGTGGGATTCTCGTGGGATGCAAGACAAAATTTTGAAGGAAAGAGACTGAGAGGATCCTCTTGGACGCTCAAGTCATCCTTCGCCGCCAAAGGCTGGGCAACGACTTATGTAAGAAGCCTGCACAAAGGCAGCATTCCTGCTTCAGCAGGAACCATTCCAACACACGACCAGGGCCTCTAGGGCAATGGCAAGGTGTCTGGGAAAGTCTCCAGGCTGCCAGTTTCATCCGCTGGCAGCGTCTCTTCGAAGGTGCCAGGCAAAGGCTGGGTGTCTTCTGTCATCTCAGTCAGCAACAACATGACCTGATTGAGCGGCGGCTGGAGTTCTGGCAAAGCACCTGCGTGAAAGTCACAAACTTCCAGCAAAGCGTCGAGTTCCTTGCCTTCTTGGGTGACCTTGAACATAAAGCAATCACGATGGAATGGGTAGCCATTCCACAAAAAAGCGCATTCAAGATTGGCCAACTCATGATTGCAGGCAACACACGAGACACCAGTGTCTCGAACCAAGTAGGCATCAAATTTCTTCATGAAAATGCACCACTCAGGAGGAGGGTCACGCGCAACAGGGGCGCACCACTCAAGAGGAGGGTCACGTGCAGCAGGGGCCAGGTTTGATTCAATCTCCCATTCACTGGATGATGCATCATTGTTTGGTCCCTTTGGCTCCTCACTTTCGGTCTCGGTCCCGCTGACACTTTGCTCATCAAGCCAGGCAGGTCCAGGCTCTGCAGGAACCAAGGAAAATGGATCAGGCACCACGCACAAAGCGGGCCTCCCGTTTGGCCCAGGGATGATGGAGCCCAGGAGGGCAGTCAGGATCGAGCCGACCACTGGCACTGACCAGCTGTCTCCTCAAAAACTGGCTAAGAGCTCAGCACGGAAAAAATGCCTTCAAAAGATCCACCTGACCTGGAAAATACAACAGGTTCCAGGTTACAGGTCCACAAACACTCGGAAGTCCTGCCAATGTATTGAGCTGCTTGTAGGTCATGTCATCGAAGTTCAATTTGTAGCAGTCAAACCCCTGAATGGTCAAGAGGTCCTTCCAGAATTACAGTGGTCACACACGTGTGGGGGCCACGCCCCGTCCAAAGTCCAGCATGACCTAACTGACTAGCGTTCGACCGTTTGAAAAAAACATATGGTGTCGTACGAGTCACATGTTTTGTTTGGTCACGCATGTCGAGTCCTGGGCTGACAAGAAAGCAGTGCTGTGCCAGTCATAAAGCTTGCAATGACAGGTCACTGCACTGGTGCGACCTCCAGTCTGGTAATGGAACCTGCCCATGGAACCTTGGTCCCCCCAGTGACAAAGGAGTAAAATGAAACAGCTGCTTTTGGTCAGTTTATTTGCTGAAAAAAGTGGGTGGATTTTGACTGTTGACCATCGAATGAAACCTGGAAAGCAAAGCCCCGGGCGGGCCACGTCTGAGACACAACGAGCGCCCTCAGGATCTAGACCTTGTGCCTCGGAGTTTGCAACAAACATGGGGTTTCATTAGTTGCGGCGCAAACAACATCTTGAACCCTTGTCATTACAGCACCTTACCCAGGAATCAGGAGGGATAGAAACACAACAACCTACTCTAAACGCCAAGATTAGGTAACAGGTAACGTCAACAAAACTGGTAAATGTTATTTCTATGGAAGGCTGAGGGCTTCATATACTTAAACTTCCGGAAAAGTGGCTTAGTTCTTCACTTAGGAGCTGACTTTTGGCGCTTAGAATCTCCAACGGTTGAAGTACAGAACAAACCCTGTCCCGAAACATGTATACAACATCTGTCCCTTGGAAGGTGTCGCTAGATGAAGTAAGTTGTGAATTGGTTGTAACTCCTGGTAGTACATGGCACATGTATGAGAAGTAACATTAACATTTACACTTTACACATTGCACGTTGCGTGATGCTTTGTCAAGGGCACAAAGAAAGAGGCAAACGATGGAAGGCAAAGGAGAAGTGACTGCTTCAACCTCATTGAAACATTAGCAATCTGCTAGTTATTACTACAAGTCATGAACAGTATTCTCAATCACACGATTGGTAGTCGATTCATACATCATTAATCAGAATCATTATCATATCATATAATCATCCTATCAATCGTATACGATACGTCATATATCATATATCACATGTCATACATGACTTTGTTGAGTTATGTTAGGTACGGTATGACCGAAGCTTTGGAGTTAAAAGTTGTAGTTACCGGCAATCAAGGGTGTTTTGAACTTGTTGTTAGTGCGACAAACGATGAAGGTTTTTGGATTTTGATTTCAATATGATATAAATAGCACATATTCAATGACAGAATAGAAAGAATGAAAAACATGACATACACAATCACATCAATTATAAAAATAAGTAATAACTAAACTTTACATATCGTTAGTATATATCATATCTAACTATAAAATGTATAGTATAACTAAGTTTATAAAACTATATAAGTTTGGAACAATTTATAAATAGCTCCGAACGGTTCCGAACGGTTCCGAACTATTTGTACAACAGGGCTTTATATATAGTTCAGAACGGTTCCGGACGGTTCCGAACTATAAGTAACCCCGGAACTATTTGGAACTATTTGGAACTATTTGGAACTAATTCAGGTTTTTGTTTACATATAGTTCAGAACGGTTCTGAACGGTTCCGATCTATTTATACTATCTTTTTACAAATAGCTCCGAACGGTTCCGAACGGTTCCGAGCTATATGTGAACAGAACGACATCACTCGCATCATAAACACTAAATTTTAATAGAAGACAAATACAAGATAGGTCAATGTCATATCATCCAGCGTAGCAGTGGCATAACCCAAAAGATTGGTGTAACCGAGTTGATACTTAGTGGACGGTAGGTTGCCGACTGGTCCCTTATGTCATATATGATATGTCAGAGTCAGAGTCATGTCCTTTTGAATTTGGTGGTTGGGGGCCGTTGGCCCAAAGTTTGAGAGATGACTGACAGGCCAAGTGCCTCAACCACCTGAACCTGAATTCAACAAAGGTGCCCGGATCATAGCGTGATGCACATCAAGTATATTCTTCTCCCGTTGATTCAGCCGCCTTAGAACGTCTTCTGGGAGGTCCTTGGTGTATGTCCCGGGCTTGATGGCCAAATTCTGGAACACTTTCTCTTCTGCCGCCTTGCTCTTGGCTGATTGGACACCGTCCTGTCACAGCAAGGGTGTCCTCCCTTCCACAGCTCACGTCTGGGGGGAAAAGGTCTGGAGTGCACATCCCCCCTGCCCACATCTACAAATAGTTCCTGTCAATTTATAAATAGTTCCCCTTTCATTATTTGAAGGGGACCCACTTCTGCAGGTGCAAAGGGAGGCTCCGACAGGTCCCCGACAAGTCCCCGACAGGTCCCCGACAAGTCCCCCTGACAGGTCCCTGACAAGTCCCCCTGACAGGTCCCCGACAAGTCCCCCTGGTCCCCGACAGGTCCTGAACATTTCCCTGACCCCCGAGAGGTTTCTGACAGGTGCCAGAAACTGATAAACTGGGGTTGGGGTTTGACCTAAGCCTGCTTTGAACAGACAATGTCCAAACAAGCTCATGAAGGCAATTCAAAGCACCTTTGGTCTTGGAGGTCATTGATGGGCCTTTGATCCAAGCCAGAATTTGTACAAAAAACAGAAGAAGCGGAACAGGTCTTTGAGTCACTCACTCCCAGGTCTCCTTGGCAATTGGAGGAAACTTCAAAGGCCCCATATCCTCATGGGTTTGCCAGACATACTCCAAAATGTCCTCGATGGATGAGCCAGGAACAATTTGCTGTGGCAAGACCTCTTTGATTAGGCGCACCATTCCCATGATTTGCGCGTTGTCTGCGACATCATCTCGAATCATAATGATGTATAGGCGCCCACGAGTCTGACACATTCCATATTTTGAACTCCTGGGAATAAAGACAAAAAACACGTGTGCAGCCCGAAACTTTCAAGAGTATATACAATATATTGAACCAAAATATTCAACTCTGCTTCTGTGGCAGTTGGCATGACGCTCTGTTTATGCAAACATAACTTAACATAGTTAGTAACTAGTAACTGTACAAAAAAGGGTCGGTCACGTCTGTGTGTTTGTGTGTGTGAGAATGCGGTTTTGTCTTCGCTGTGTTGCGGCTGAAAGTCTCCAGCTCAAGCTGCTCCAAATGATAGTTCGGCACCAAGGCCAGTCCAACCTCCAATCCATCTGCTCGAACTCCATTAAGCATATACTGGAGAGGATCCTGGCCAAGGTGGCAGCCGGGTGGAACTGGATTTCAAAGATGTACAGTATCAGTATCGGTATATTGTATACAGTATGGTATACGGTATATTATAGGATCTGTGGAATCTGTGGTGTGCAAACTTTAACAGCACCAGCACCACTGGAGAACAAGGTGGGAGGATGTGGATCTCTATCACTTCCTCATTGTACAATAGTACAGTACAAATCATCAAATCATACGTCATGTAGATTCCTGACTCCAAGTCCAAGGTTAAAAAGAAACACACACACACACACGCACGCATACTTATCATGGTATCGTCAGTAAGCGACGGCACCTGAAAAATGACTGCCATAGACCGAACTCTTCCTTCTGACCACGTGAAGACAAACATAACTAATTAACTATATTACTAGTTGAAAGTTCTGACACCTGACACACCGTTCACCGTACCCGAAAACACTTGATGAAGCTGGAATGACAGTTGTCATTTCGCGTGCAAACACCCGAGGAAACTTGCAGCTCTTTTTCCCCAACTCTACACAGCCGCGCTGACTTTCTATGGAAGAGGACAGAGGTGGTTCAGGCTTCATCCCACTGAGAACGGAGAACCCTTCCAACGAAGCATTCACGATTTATACCCAGTGACTTGACCACAAGAAAACACAGGTCCTTGTCCTAGGGTCCTAGAATGATAGGCCTTCAACATTGCAACATGCGAAGGATGGTCTTGGCCTCTGCCTGCAAAGATCCAGATTGGCTACCACCTGCCCTCTGGGAGATCTCTGTCAACCTACTTATGGCTCTGTCTCGCAAGCCCGTGCTTTCTACAAGCTGCGCTACACAGTGAGAGTGCACCCATGAATGCGGTTTCAAGGTGCTATGATACCATGAGAACCTCACATCTCCCTTGCCGATGTTGCGTTTGCAAGCAAGACAAATGCTCCGACTAGAGGCAGCGAATCCGGCATCGTCCAGCCCAAGTGTTTTGCTGAAAAAGCTGGTGGACGGTTTCAGTTCACCAGCTTTGAACTGCTCAGCCAGATTGGCTTTCATCTCATCAGTGGCGTCAATCTCCCTTGCCACCTCCTTCGCTGACTCAGCCTCCATGACCATAGTGTCCGAAATGGGTTGTATGGGGTTGCTTTCTGCCTCGAGGTCTATGTCACTCTCCATGTCAGACTGGGACTCAGATTCTGATTCCAAGTTGACAGGCAGAGTCTTTTTTGCTCTTGGCCCTTGCTTGGTTTTCTCTTTGCGCAAGGCTTTCTTTCGGGGCCTGTTTGTCTTCAACCCAAATGGCATCGGAACTTTTTCCGGCTGTCTCCGTTGGAGGCTTGCTGAGTCTAAGCAAAAATCAGCAACAATAGCTTCTGCATGTGCAATCAGCGAGTGACCGTCAACCCACTTCATGCCGCAGGACCACATCTGAACGTCAACTGTGAACTCTGTGTTGTTTGTTCTGGCAGCAATGAGGTTGAAAATTTGATGTGAGGTTGAGACTTCTGGAACGTCATCGACACAGATGAAGTGGATGTCACCATTCCCCTTGAACGTCACGTGCACAAATGTTTGCATAAGTGGCCTTTGCTGGGTAACACCAAGAAGGTAAGCGTAGGATTCCGAGGTGAATGACTCACACAAGCAAACAAGTGTCCCAGGTTTTGCCTTTTGATCAACGAGCTTGTAGTATAGCGCCCTTGCCATTTTCGAAGCTGTGCTTTGAGAACCCTGTTCACACTGGTATGGCACGCATTGGTCTGCAAAATCGGCTGGTGGTGGGTCAGTACATCCTGGTGTGCAGTGGATGCATCTGTCCAAGAAGCACTGTATGCTCTCGTCCGCTGTGTCTACGTCAATCGCAGACAATCGCAAAGCACCAGAACCTGCAGCCAAGACGAATGGGAGACCGACTGGAAAACAGTTTTTCTAACACCAGACAACAATCCAAAGCTAGTTTAAAAAGTGCTCAAATGAAACAAAACAATGGCAGTGGCAGTGACAATCACCAGTTCAAAAAAAAACATCTATGTCGATGTGACCTGCAATATATCTGATTGGAACAAGTAGCTGTCTCCATATTGGGTAGCGGATGTCCACAACGGGTGGTCCTTCTCTGCCTGGTGGTTCAAGGCGAGCCTCCGAGCAGAAATTTTCTGCCGGCCCTTACGCGAGACCTGTTCCTCGAGCTCCTGTCGTTCAGTCTGGGATTGTGACATTTCCCTGTCCTGATCAACATTTGCCTTGTCGGTCTTGGAGGCCAATGGAATCTCAGCCAACCTGTTTCTCAGAGATTGTTGGTGTTCAGCTTGTACTTTGTACACTGCCTTATTTTCCTCTGACATGCTTTTCCATGTTGCACTCAAACCCTTCACAAAAGACTTGTACTCCTCTGGACTCAGGTTCTTGTGCCCTTCCTGCATTTGCTCTTGCTGGAACATGTTCCACCCTGACAACGCTCTGACTTTGCGAGTGGCTGCGTGCTGAACCCGAGCTTCACGCTCAGCCGGTGTCTCTTGGGAAACACGTTGTCGGCCCTTTTCCTTACTGAATATGTTTTGGAAGAATAAAACATACAGTACAAACCAAGCCTACTCTGAAGAGCCCTGTTGAAAGTATTGGCCCCTGAAAAAGGTTTGAGCCCGATATCATATCGCCGCTCCTAATTTTGCACACCTTTGCTAGGAGTTGGGAATGGACAAATGAACACAATGAACTGGAAGTGTGGACAGCCAAAAAGGTTGCTTGTGTTTCCAAAGCACTTTGTCTTTGGTGTATTGGTTCATGCTTCGAGTACCGACCATCTTCAAGATGCTGGACTCTGTCATTTTGGAAGGCAATGTTTGATGGTGCACCAGTTGCCGTACAGAAAGAAACTGCTTTATGACTGCCTGGAGGAATGTAATCTCCCTGGCGGATCTTGGTGCGCGAACCTGTTGCCGGCCTCGCCTTGACACAGCCCATTGAACCACACCGTGCTTGATCTCCACTAAGTCACTGGATAAGGGAGCAAATGTAGAAATGTCTAACAGCAACTGCTTTATCTCTGCGCACACCATGTCTTGCTGGTGTGGAGGCTTGCCCTCGAAGTCTGTCAAGGGGAAGTTCAACAGCAAAATTGCCGTGAAGGCGCAATCAACACAGCAGCTGTGCTGGGCATATCTTTTGTGCAGGTTTTCCCACTCTTTGAGAAATGCTGCGGTTGGGTAGTGCGCCATTGAAAACAATGTGAATGGCAGGGACTGGAAGTCTAGAACGAGTCTTCGCCATGTGTCAGCAATTCCAACAATGACCAACTGAAATGCTAGCTGCAACTGCTCTGGGCAATCACCAATGTCCATACCAAATTCAACACTCTCAGCCAGGTCTTTCTCGAGAATTGCCCTGTAGCGAACCATCAGTTCTTTTCCCAAAGTTCCATTGACAACACGGAAAAACTTGGCACGGCTTTTCTGACAGCATTCGTCAAATGCAGGATGTGCTGCCCCCAGGTTTGACAGTTCATGGAGGATAGCAGTCCTGGAAAACAAGACATTGATTCCAACTTCACTGGGCTGCAATAAACTGTCAATGACAACGGCATTCCGAGCAAAGTTGTCCTGGCATATAGTCTTGATCATCATATTCCTTCTGATTGAGTTCTGAAGGGCGTAGTTCATGTCTGCCTCCATCAGGCCACCTACTAGAACTTGTAAGTCATCCTCCGTCAAGCTTCCGGAAGAAGCCACACCATTGTCAGCTAGCAATGTGTCAATCATGCTGCTAACTTCTGCACTGACTGAAGTTCCTTTCTTCAAGAGTTGCAGTGTTTGTGGCAGGATCCTGCACATCGTTGCACCAACCTTCACGTATGAGCTGGCAGGTGAATAGTGCTTGAACCTGCTCAGCAAAGGTACTGCAAACCCCTTCCCAAAGAATGGTACGGCCAGTCGCAAAAGCTTAGCTGCTGCATCAGCGTCGCTTGCGCAACAGGTAGAGTCTGAGTTGACCACGCACCAGTGCGAAATTGTGTCTGAGCATGTGTCCCCATTGATGAATTCCAAAAGTGCATTCAGGGCTGAGGCAGCACTCTTGGATGGGGCTTGATAATTGCGAGATATCCACTCGGCCCTTCTCTGCCAAGAATGGTAATCTGGTGGAAGGTTTTGCACCGGAATTCCTGTACTGAACTGTGCATACCATCCCGCCCTGGCTTAGTATAAATTCCTTAAAGCTTTTGTAACCAGCTCAGCTTAGCTAGCAGTAATCAGTAAATAGAGACACAGGAACACAGGCACAAAAGAAAGGAAAGTTGGCTTTTGGTTCCTGCCTAGCTGCTTTGAAAAACGTTGGGAGTTTGCAAGAATTGCACCAAAGCCGCTGCGAAGGCATGCCGAAAAGAGCTTTGCTCAAAAAGATGGGCAAGGCGAATCAATGAGGTCCAGTAGCCAGCCACTGAGAGAACCATGGGTTTTCGAATGAGGTTCAATTGGTGCACCTGGCACTTGCAATACATACCCAGAGTTGGGTTGCTTCCCTTTGCGTTACGCTTTGCCAGCTCGTAAAGTTCTGTCTTCCAAGCTGCTGAATTTGCACGGAGTGCATCTCCTGTCAGGATTTCAGTGCGGAAAGGCACTGAGTGGACACCTACTGCACTTGGGCCAAGGCCACAATTTTGCATGAGCTCACCAACTCCTCGTGCGCAAACCACAGAAAATGCAGTCATGGCCGCATGAATGTGCCCGGTTTTGGCAGCCTCTAAAACAAGCATGGGTGTTGGAACGTTGACGGATTCCCAGCACTCAGCTTTACCCGCTGGACTGTAGCGGACATGGACTGATTGACAAGTGTTGCAAACAGTGTGAATCGAGCTTTTGTCACCAGCTCCTCTCATCCTGGTATCGGAGTCGTCTGCAATCACGGTATTGACAACATGATGCACTGTCTTGGAACTTCCTCCAGTATCTCGGAACAAGCTCTGGACCATAACTACGATTCGCTGGATGAGGCTGTAAGTGCATCGGGACCTTTCTGATGCCTTTTTTTTGGTAACCTTGCTCTTTGGAGTAACCGGATGTATAGAACAACTTGTGGGTGAAGAAGTTGTCTTGCAACATAGCTGCCCAGCTTGATGGTCCAGTGCTTTGACACTGGTGCTGTGATTGTTGCTGGCTTTTCAATCGCTTCGCAACTGCTGCGGCCACTGTTGCACCAAGCAAATGCTTTCTCTGGTTTGACATGGTGTCGGACTGTTTCTCCTGATCAACTTCATCACATTCTGACCAAAGATCTGACAAAGGCATGGCACTTGGAGCCAGGCGTGGGAAGGAATTGATAAATCACATCACTCGTCTGAACATATACAGTTCGTAAGACAGTACAGTGAGACCGCTACCAAACAAACAACGCATGTTTTTCTGCCTCTACCTCTACTCTTCAATGTTGAAAACATCACTGGGCACACAATGTAGGGACAGAGGATATGAAACTGTACCTTGTGCTTTGGTGTGACCAGACAAGCTCTGAGCCCTCAAAAAGTCAACTGGTCGACGGTCAGTGTGACCTTCATCGCAACTTGTGGACTAGCAGCGCAAAGCACAGAGCTTTAGGCTTTAGGCTTTAAGTTTAAGCATTGACCCGCGAGATGGCACCCCTGTAACCCCGCCTTGTATTTCTCAAAGAAGGCTGCATTGTCAGCTGAAGTCTCAGTTGTGTTGAAGGCAAGCTTCACTCCCAAGACCTGCGTGAACAAGACACTTGCACTGCACTGCACTAAAAGCAGTATGAATACTCAGTATATGACGTATGTATGTGGCATTTGGACCCTGCAAAAAAAACCTTGCCTCTTCAATGACCACGATTTCAGGGCGAACCTTTCCTAGGATCTGAGATTTGTCTCTAATTATTGCCATCAACAACTGGTAAATTAGCATCGGGTTCGTGCAACAAAACACTAGGCTGAGGCCTCTCAATCTCACTTAGACTCTGGACATTTCTTGTCTTGTCAACAAAAAATGTGACAACGCGGTTAACTGAGAGGTTGCGAATGAACACACCATCCAAAAAAAGATGCGCCATCATGTGAACATGCGGGTGAATTACCGCAGACAAAGAGCTGATGTACTGGGTCACCAGCTCGAAGACTTGACCTGCCCCTGTCTCAAAAGGCTGGTATCCCGGTGCTTTCCGTTTGCGGTTCAATACACTGTAAGGTGGGCATGGAGGCCCTGCGAGAAACAACTGGAAGGAATCGCGTTCATCATCCTGTGCGAAGTGGCAGTGCAGACACAACGCCGTTACTAGCTACTTGTAGGGCGTACGAACTGGCCACATATATGAGTTCCTCATATCATATCTCATCGTATCATAGGCGTGAAACTGTTATATAGAGTAGAGGCGTCCAGTAGAGTAGTCTTCGTTTGCGTTTGTATTTAGGAACCCTGTCCTTGTCACATTCACAGTGCTCCTTATGGATGTGGCAATAGCCACCTCCGGCAACACCACTGGCCATGTCAGAGTACAAGTGCTGAATCAAGCCTTAGGGTGACTGGCCGAACAGGCCCTCTAATGCCCCTCTATACACTGTTTGGTGGACTGGCTGCAATCAGACACATGGCAAACCCGGAAGTGCAAGCCAGTCACCCTCGTAGTTGTTCAAAAGGAATTTCCGCTTGAAGTCAGAGATTTCGAAAGATGCAGAAGTTCGGCACTCAAACCCAAGAAGGCCAGATAGATCCCGCCTTTGCAGCAAAACAAGTGGTGCATTGTCATTGCTCTGAGCAGAAAATTAGACCCATTCTCAGGTGTCATTGAAAATGAGACCTTTCATGACCTTTCAACATAGTCATTCTGGACACTGTGCTCAACCAAGAAGCATAGCGTATGTACCTGTTCCAGCCCCTGCACATCCTTCAACGATTTGGAGCCTCAAAGGAAAACAGGAATGGGTAATGGGTTAGTCAAACACACCCTAAAAGTTGCAGCTCACAGCTCCCTCACTCAGCACGACATGACAAAACAAAAACCAGAAGTTAGAAGTATCACAGTAACGTAGAACAAAACACAAGTTTAAAAACTCGCGGTGTGTTCTGCCATGTAGCTTTTTGGGAAGCAGGTGCTTCTTGTCATGTAATCCCAGCGTTTTGGAAAATGTGTCGGCCCAATCAAGGAATGCTGGACCAATCCTCAATAGAAATCTGAAACTTGAGAAGCGCCAAACAAGCAACAGTGGAAGCATAAATAAACATAATAAACAGAACATTTTGGGGTTGACTATGACTACCAACTCCAATAAAGAACCCTCCCTGAAAAAAAAGGTAAACACAAAACATGGTACCGGTGCCATGCCATGAGTCAATGGCACACTCTCATCAGGAACGAGGAGCCCACTACCATTGGACATGATCGGCGAAACTAGTCACAACACAACGGGTTGTGAAGTCCACAACTCCAAGAAACAAAATACATAAACTGACAATTGACAATTGTTCAGTGTCATGAGTCATTCACATCTCACAGCACTCTACTTACCATAGACTCAAACGTTCCCTGTGAGCCAACTACAGGACCAACACATCCAATTGAACTGAGATTCAGCTTTTGTCCCTTGGCCTCCCTGGCATCAATGCTGGGATCTGGCTCTGGAAGTCTTGGGCGGAAAAGGTGGTGGTGGTGGCGGTGGTGGGAGTCGTCGGCAGTTGTGTGGTGGTTTTCTTGACTTTGACCTCGGGTGTTGTTTCTGTGGGGGTGCTGGTGGCCGGGGGGGCATGGGTTTCCTGGGGGGTGGCAAAGGCGGCAGGGGCAGGTCAGCCACAGTGAATTTGTGCGTGGGTGCGACTCTTGGCACAGGTGGTGGGGTTGGGAGTGGGGGTGGGGGTGGTGGGGGTAGTGTTGTCCTGAGCTGTGCTGATGGAATGCTTGTGCTTAACTTCGGTTTGCGTTTCACCCGAAGTCTCACGATCTTCTTGACCCGGATGCGTCTTGGCATTGCCACTCAGCTATGAGATGAGGTGTGCACAAATTGGGCTCTTGAGTGGCCATGTTGCAACAAAAACACATGCACCTTGCAAAAAAACATTTGAGCTGCACCAAGAAAACTACCACCGCAAGAGTCCCTGCTCATCACTCGTCTCTGTACTGTCTCTACTTGTGTTCATTCAACAGTGACCCATTGCTTAGTCTTCCTCATTCAATGAGTCTATGATTACAAATAGTTCCTGACCATTTAGTAAATAGTTCCTGACTATTTAATATATAGTTCCAAGTAGGTCCAGCTACTTTACATATAGTTCCTAACATCTCCAGGTACCCAAATGGATGACCTCAAATAAAGAGGCCCATCCAGACCCTAACTTCTTGCTTTCAGCTTTAACATTTTGGATCCAAGGCACCGGTTGATCCAAACCCATGTCGAGCAAACCGGGGCCATCCACAGAAAGCCTACCTGGGCACATAGCGCAGTGGAAACATATCATTGGCATCATGGGTACTTGTGGATTCTTTGGTTGTAGCCTTTGCGACAATGTGAGTCTAGCCTAGCCTGAATGATTGTACAATGTCCTGGACAATACAGGAACTCTTAGATTGTCTAGGCCCAGGGAAAAGCTAGGCTAGACTCAAGAGCCGCCAAGTTGCCCGGGTACAAAGCCTGGCCACGCATGCCACGCAGTATGCGAACCCCACTCCACTCATCATGTTCTCGAGCTCGGGGCTGTCATCCAACTCGATGGAGGTGGCATCAAATCCAATCGACCTGCGTGTAGGCAATCCACAATCACCCAAACCCAACGCTCTTTTACACCCATGCTATCGAAAACTAAAGCCAGGGATACTTCGAACATCTTCGAACACATATGAACAAATGTCTGTATCAGTATACTCAGTATACGCCCATTCACCCAAGCCCAACGCTCTCTAGACCTGGTATCAAACACTTTAGCCAGGGATACTTCGAACACATTTGAACTACTGCCCGTATGAAAAAAGGGAGACACCCACTCAACGGGTCTTGGACTTTTGTCCCTTCTATGGGAACTTTCCTTCGATGTCACTGTCACATGACTGCAGTGCGTGGCCAGCCTGAAACCTCCGCAAATGGCCTTGCAGCCTGCGAAGACTTCCAGGCAGCCCAAAGCCTTGCACAAAGGTTAAAAGAAGAATGACATTCCTTGATGGGGTTGTGGGATAACCAAATCTCAAGACTGTGGAATAGTCATTGGCTGATTGTTGAATAACCATGAACTCTAATCTCAAGACTAGCAACCACCGTCGGCCGTGTCACAGTGCGAAACACCATGTCCAGCAGGCTGAGGATCGTGAACGGTAGGCCAGCTGCAAATAATTTGGAGAGCCTGAGAATTTGCACACGGTAGACGGTAGACCATAATAACTGAACCTATAGCTGTGTGTGTGCGTGTGTGTGTGTGCGCACCTTTCCAACTAGGTTGCGTGTGTCCCACAAAACAATGGAGAACTGCTGTTAAGCTGACTTTCATTCATATTTCCAACACTTAAGCCAAGTAGCAACGATCCCAACAATGGATGAAGGCTTTCGGTCACCACCTTGAAGCGCTTCACCTGCCCTTCACGAGCTGCCCGCCTTGCCCTGACAGCTCGATGCTGCCTTTTGGTTTTCTTCCTATTGGGTTTAAGCACGTGCATACCCATGGCTTCAAAGATCGATCTGCAAGCTCTGGCCAAAAAGAACTGCCAGCGAGAGTGCAACCACAAGTTCTGAATCTATGCGCGAACAACTGCAGAACTGCACAAGTAATGTTTCCTAGCGCAAGGACATGTTCTCTAGTATACATGGCATGTAAAGCAACTGTTTGCACTACACCATAGCGCATGTCACATGGTAGCGGAGCGCATCGACGTGCACGGGGGGTTGCACCTATGATACTCCACCAGATCGAGGTCCATGGCCCACAGGCATGCGTGGCAGCAGTGCCACGCTCTACAGAAAATGAATGGCAGTGGAACATATGCTGCAAACAACTGCCAGAACAATTGGAGTCAACAATTTCATCTCCAGACAACGCTTTACTGCAAAACCTCTTTGGGGTCGTGCACGCCAACCCAAACTGACATGTGTGCGCTTGGAACGCGTGAGCCGGTGTGCCTGAAAACAAGCCAGGCGGTCAACTTCAACCGCATGTGCGCACTTCTTCCAAAAGCGTTTAAAGTTCAAAAAAAGGTTTCCTTTGAAGCGTTTAGACTTCAAATCAAGTCTTCACTCATGAGAATTTGACAACCCTTTGTTCCATTCTACACTTACAACTCTTCCAATCTACAGAGATAACCTCTGGAGCTCGACACCATTGGCACCCATACTTCAAAAACATGTGTGGGCCTTATGTTTTATGATGTTCTTTTCATCGCAGATCTAGGCGTACATTATGCATGTTGCCTGGATAAGCCTTTTCGCCGTGGAAGAGCTTATCTATACAAAAGGCTTATCTAGCCTCAAGGATCATGATCCAACAAGCGTTTCTATGAAAGAGCTTAACCAATAGCACTCTCGGCTGACTAGGAAGTACAGATCCTGGTTCGCCGCGAAGAAAATCTAATTCCGGGGTGCAGCGAACGCAAGGCTGCCCCTCGTCCTGGAACCTCTCCTCGGCGCTGTGCGAACAGGACACTTCTGCCCAATGGGCTTTTCCCTCCACCGGCCTCTCCGAGCCCGACCAAGGAAGCTTGGTCAAAGTCCCAAATGGCTTCCAAAGCCTTCAAAACTTCCGC